ATATTTATTCCATTGCTGTGTTTGTTATTTGCTTCCCTAATTTCGGAGATTAAAGATCATTTCCACCCAAGGATTTCTGACGCAATCGGTTTTTATTAATGCTTTATAGCGAATTAATTAGTAAATTATTCGACTAGCTCGTTTATGTTTCCCTAATTTGAATCGTTAATTTCAATTAAACAAGTCCCCCTTGCTCTAGATTACATCTCGACATTTCTGCCTCTATTACACCTCTAAAACTCCCCAAGAAAATATTCTTGGAAGAAAACTCATTTCGGTTTGAAATACAGAGTGTCCACATATAAATTATCACATTTTAAAGTCAAAAAATTATATATACAGGGTTTCTATTTAAAAACACATTGTATATATTGTAATAATATGAAAAGAACAATTCTGCTATATGTGTATTTCGATACTTTATAGTAACTAACCCTGTATCTTTTTTCATATACCAACCATGTAAAAAACTTTGTGTTATCATGAATCCATTAAGAAATGTTCTTTCGAAGTTGGTAAAACTGTCTTCGAGACTGATGTTACGAGCGTGTCACAGGAATAAAACTTTTCTCGAGAAAAACGAAAGTGGATTTGAATTTCATCAGCACATTTGGGAATGTTTCACTCGTAAATCGCAAAAAACCTTTTATCGATTATTCAATTTGAAAGAACATACAATTTTTCTATTGGTTGATATTTGATATGTGTGTTGATGAAAATTTACAATTCTGTATTTTACCCACCTTGTTATTGGTCTCTTTTACGAATGAAAATTTACGAATTGCAAAATATATGTTAGATTTTATTAATTATCAAGTCAAATAATTATTTATTTACCAAATGATTACCGATAGAATACAATGCATGAGAATTAGCCAACAACCACAGCTAATCACATTAGACACTTAAGGCGACTTAAATCGTTCGGCTTGGAGAAGTGCCGGCGGTACTTTGCTACCGCAATAGTTCCCCGCACTCTTGACTGCCGATGTTCTCTACGTTATACTACGTTAGTAATCATACAAAAATTTGTTTACCTGCTCAATATATCATATGAAACAAACTAAAAATGAATACTGTTACGTGTATTTTTTTTAAACAGTTTAATTATACTGATTTATATTCACTAAATACACCAATTAATTTTTTAACTAATTTATTTGTATTCAAAATTTACTTGACAACATTTATTTCTAAAACTAAACTCAAACGGCAAAATAATCCACTGATATATAAAAATGTAAAGGCTTAGAGAAAGCCGGTCCTGTCTCAAAGAATCTTGAAGTAATGCAATACTTTTTATCAAGAATAATTGTTTTTTTGAATAACAAAACTTTTTTCTCATGTATATAATTTTTTTTTGGAACACAGTGTGTAATGGATCGCGTAATCGAGCACGTCGTTAACAATACAGTGTGACCCAAAAAGTTTTATACATGTGATAAAAGTTTTGTTTTTTCAAGTGATACAAAATTTTTTAATTAGAATATTTTTTTTTTTTTTAAGAAAACCTTTTCTTAGATATTGTTGTTATTGACGTGATCGAATAGCATGTTGCAATTTATTATACAGTGTGTGCCAAAAATGTTTATACACGTGGTAATCACGCTTAAAGCGGGGCATCTGGCAACCCAATTAATTGCGTATAGGGGAGAGTGGGCCACAATGGGTCAATTTTTACTTTACAATGTTTCTAATTTTTTTGACACGATAGTGACACTTGTGAATGCGTGCAGCCAACGGTTAATCTCATGGAGAAGATATCTAGTCGCTAAAATTTTAAAAATAAATAAAGAAAAAAGACAGAAAATTCAAAATGCCAAATCAAAATTTTGACCCATTGTAGACCATTAATGGGGCACAATGGGTCACGACATGGGCCACTATAGGTCAACCTAGAAATGGGTTAAAAAAATAGGAAAATCATTAAACTAGCTAGTTACATCGAAAGAAATATAATAAAAAAGAAATATTACATTCATTTTAATTATCTTATAGCGATATTGTAAAAACTAATATCAAATTTTATGATACCTTGCACTCTTTTTGTACCACGAATATTTGATGGAGGCGGTAATACTAATTTTATGTCTTGCTCTGGTATATCCGCTATATCTGGGATATTTGGGAAATAAAAGCCGTTATCATGTTTAAAACTGCGGCGTAGGAACTTGGTTTCATACGCTCCATCTTCAGCGGTAACCCCTGTATATTGGCCAACATAATATAATTTATATTTTGATTTATTTTCGCTAAATTCGACGAGAATAAATTCGTCTTTCTTCAATGGTCTCTCTAAAATACCATTCAAGAAGAGTGCTGTAATATCCTCTTCCTGATTATCGACATCAACCAAATCGAGACTATCATCTGAAGAACCGGAGAACCAATGTTGGTCATCTTCGTTCTCTTCTTCATCCGATTCAGTAACTGTAACTCGAGGTTTCTTTTGTTTAACTTTACGTTTCTTATCGGCATTTTCTTTTTGCTTTTCCGCTTTTTCTTTCTTCTTTTCCTCTTTTTCTTTCAATTTTAACTGTTCAGGAGAACTGGTGGCAATAATGCTGCTACCTTTTTCTCGAGGTTTCCTAGTTGCTTTCCTTGGTTTTGCTTTTGGAAATCCTTTAAAATGGGCTGGACTCAAAAATTTTTTGTTATCGGTATCCGAGTGCGATGAAGTTGTAGGCACACACGGTGTTTCTGTGCTAGATCCGGCTTCTGCAGTTTCATCCGAAGAAGGGGTTGTGAAGGTTGCAACATTAGATACCCCTCCCTCAGGATGTTGTATCTCTGCGGGATTTTCCCTATCAGTTACAGAGCTACACAAAAAATCAGCGTCTGAAAATATTGTTTTGTCAAACGGAAAAATCCCAGCTCGCTTGAAACCTTTTGTAATATTTGTTGGGACCATTGATTTCTTAAACGTTGTTCCTACGCAGGAGGCTACGTCGTAGATGGTAAGTGGAATTCCTGGGTGCGCCAACAGCCATGCTTGAACTGCTTCGTTATAGTAAGCTTTAAACGGTCCGAACACAGAAACATCCAGGGGCTGCATACGATGGCTACTGTGAGGTGGTAACGTTAATACCGTGATGCCTTTGGATTTTGCTAAGTCTAGAGCTGCTAACGAAAGATGGCTCTCATGATTATCCAATATTAATAAACACGGGTTTTCTTTTGAGGCTGCCGTAAACTGTACAAAATGTTGTATAACTTGCGGGAAAAGTTCCGTGGTCATCCATCCACTGGGGTTAGCTAAACCTAAGGTGCCAACAGGGGCTCCGTTGATCATGTGTGGTTTAAAATGTTGTCTCGAAAAGATCATTACAGGGGGAATAAAGGAGCCCATAGCATTAATAGCCACACAAGTTGTTACTAATGTACCGCGTTCTTGGCTAGTTGCCGCGTTCACCTGTTTGACACCTTGTTTTGTAATTATTTTTCTGCATGACTGAACTGTGGTAGTTCCTGTCTCGTCTAAATTCCACACCCGAGTTCCATTAGCAAAATGTTCTTTAAGTTTATACAAATTTTCTAGGTTTGTAAAAAATATATCAACATTATGTTTATTAAACGATGTCATACGAGACAGAGAACAACCTTCAGGGATTCTTAGACTCAATTTGTTTCTTTTGAGGAACGAGCGCATCCACTCTAGTCCTGCTTTCTTATCCCTATGCCAGTTATCAGGAACTTTTATGTTATTAATGGTCGCCATTTCATAAGCAATTTCTCTTACATCCCTGGTAGATTTTCCATAACACATGCCTGCACATTGAACAAGGTAGTCTGTTAATAATTTTTCCTGTTCGGTGGTAAATATTTGACGACTAGCATAATTAGGAACCAGTCGAATAGTTTCGCCATCTGCTTTTGTTTTTTCCTTTTTAACATATCTGCAAAACCAAAATTCAAAATTTTATGTTACATGCACAAAATAGAATTGTTATGACTCACCGCTGAAGAGTTGAAAATTTAATGCCACTTCGTTCTGCAGCTTGTCTAATAGAAACACTTTCTGCCATAACCAAATTAACTGCCCTTCTCATCATTTCCTCTGTAAATGTACCTTTATCGGTTTTTCGTTTCCGGTTTCGTGTCATTTTGAGGCTATAAACCAAAAGTAAAATTTTACATCGATTTTGCACTGACCCATTGTACCCCACACAAACAGACCCATTGTGGACCACGTGTAGATTTTATGAATACCCTCATTTATTTTAACCTGAACATTCATTCTTCTACTTTGTTAATATGCCATTTAGTAGCTCACTTTATATACTACTTAATGATATACTAAAAATTAGCAATATTTCCACTATAAAAAGATTACAACAAACTTACCGAATTACACAATTTTTAGTTTTTATAATGTCACTTTCAACTTTATGCATACAACGACAGAACTACAACTGATCACAGCACACTGTTCGTTAGAAGGTGTATCTAGTAGTTCGTACTACGGACACCATAAGTCGTTTGAGTAGTATTCTCGAGAAATACAGGAGCGGCGTTGACCCATTGTGGAACATGACCCACTGTGGCCCACTCTCCCCTACAGAGATCAGAGCCAGACTGTTTAAAAATAACTCGCACGACAATACATTCGTTATGAATAAAAGAATTGATGAATATAATTTACAAGAAATAAGAAACAATGAGGGAAAATATTTTTATTTTCATTGAATAATCTTAACAAATACAACTCGTTTAATTGATCCAAAAAAAATTGTCTTTATATTAAAATTGATTAACGGACAAATAAATCGGTTAAGTATTTAAATATTCAAATTTTGTTTAAATTAATATTTATTAAGGAAAACAAAAGTTAAAAAATTGATTTTTAGATATGAGCGACTAATAAAAACCAATATGTAGTATTTTTTAGAATACTTAAAAGGTATATACAAAATTTCATGTAAATATTTATTTTTTTTTTTTCACTTTTACCAATTTTTATTTAAAACAATATATTTACGGAATAAAATGATTTTTTTCAGGCTCGAATGTCGTTTTCGAAGTACAACGTCAACGCTTTAACAGATCCCATGTCGGTCCTGCCTTCGCCGATAATCCGAAGACCTCGACAAAATTCGGTGTTCGTCGGCAGCTCCACGGTGGCCATGTTGAATCCGCCGCCGAGACGCGTCAAATCCGCCATTGATATTCAACATTTAGTCGTCAACGAACACAGTCCAACGGCGTCGCTGAAAGGTAATAGGAAAGGTACATATCTACTGCACTGTTTTTATTATATTTCTTCTAGTATAGCACTGAATGTAGTTTTTATTTTCAAGAACTTGGTTAAATTTCGTTTTGAAATATTTTGTTTTGACATTTGTAAATTTATCTAAGTATCGTAATATTTATTATTTAATTTATTTGCAACTATATTCTATAATTTATTTACTTAACAGTAATTTATCTCAAATACATGTTTTCTATTTTAGCACTATTTATATTTCAAACACTTATACTCGTGTACATATTTATATTAACAATTTATCTTCTAACAACAATGAATCTATTTATACACCAATGTGAAGGATCCCGAACATTCCACCATTTGTTCTTTACAGTCAAATGGGAGCCAAGGTCTTAAATACCACCCTGTATGCTTTATATTCGGATTAACCTACCACCTACTAAAAGTTTTTCAATTAAAGTATTCATTTTATTAGTAAATGCTAACAAATTATTTCCAAACGGTCTTTAAATACTTTTTAATAACCACTCAAACCTCTACCATTTGACTCGACAATCAATCACTTTCAGGTTCGATTATCCCGATCCTGAACAAAGAACGTCGTCCATCGCTCATAACTATCGAACGGCCGTACTACTCGCGCCACCGCCCCTCCATCACTGTCGATCGTCCCCACGTTCATCAACAGCGCTCCAGACGCGTTTCCTGCTTCACCGAACGCCCTCAGAACCGCCATCGCAACTTCATCAGCTTCGAACATCACAGTATCGAGCGGAAACAACAACCGCTTCAACTATCGCAACCGTCGTGCAGCTTCCATCCCACCATCAGTTTCGAAACACCGTTGGAATCGATGGAATTGCCGGTTGTTTCTAGCACCGGAGCTATTCCGAAGATATCACGCAGCTTCGAGCAACCGAATTTCAACAGGGAGAAGCCGAAAACTAATCGAAGCTCGCACAGTTTGGACGTGTGCGCTGCAAGCTTCGAACGGAGGTGTTCTATACCGGAAGAGGATCGGGGATCGCCGGTGTTCGTTCATTTGGACGAAGCCACGATAACAGCGCCTCTGTTGGAGAGCTTGAAAAGTTCTGACGTTTGATAATTGTTGTGATAATGGTAAATGTTTTTCGTTATTTGTCTATTTTTGTACATTTCACGATATACTTGGATTGATTGGTGCTTCGGGTATTATAATTGTTATTAAAAGTATCGATAGCATGTGAGTTGCAAATGGTGTGACTGGTAGTTAGAACGGTTTTAAATATACGGTGATTGTTTGAAATAGATAAATTTTGAGCATTATTTTCATTCTATAGAGTATTTAAATATTCATAAATTTGTAAAGATTAAAATTACAGAAATGTTATGATCGGTTTTACGATAAAACGAAGCATTTTTTAATAAATAAAAAAAATCTTTTAAGCTTAAGTTAATTTGTAAATTTTTAAACCATCACCATATTTAAAATCTAAGTAGGTAGTTTTAATTAAGAAAATATTTTTTGTGACAAATTTAAATGTGAATTGAATGCACAAATGATTAAAATACTAAACATTAACTATGATAACTATATTTTTCTTATTTTTATAATGAGTCCATATATACAGATTGTTTAATTAAAAAGCACCATTTTAAAATCATATATTTTTCATAAATAATCTCGTTATTATTTATTTGAGTTCCCTCGTAGTTCCACACAAATCAAGCCACTTTTGTATAGCAATTTTTAAAACCATTTCATACATATGGGAGACCCTGTGAGTCGCAATCATCTTCATACTTTATTTGGATTCGTTATTTAAAATATCATTAACGGAGATGATGAACAGGAGCGCCCCAAAAATGGACCCTTGAGGCACTTTTAATTTGAAAATAGCCGATTTATGGGTAAATATATTTTTTTGTTTTATTATTTTTACTTAAACATTCAAACACGTTCTGGAAATGTGATAAATAAAAACGTGCTAAAAATCGACCTTTGAAGCACTCCAATATGAATATACCCAATTATTAATTATTCCTTACATATGGAAAACCCTGCAAGCTATAATAATCTTCATTACAGGTAAATTTATTTGAAACCATGATGTAAAATATCGTTAATGGAAATTATGAACCTTGAAGCACTCCAATTTAAATATATCTAATTATTTATTATTCCTTGCCTATGAAAGACCCTGTAAGCCGCAGTCATCCTCGTAACAAGTAAATTTATTTGAAAATGTAATGTAAAATAGCATTAACGGAGAAGATGAACAAAAGCGCCCAAAGAATGGACCCCTGAGGTTCTCTAATTTGAATATAACCGATTTATGGATAAATATCTTTTTTTTTTAGTTTTATTGTTTTTATTTTACCATTGAAACAAGTTCTGCAAAGATGATAAACAAAACCGCCGCAGGAATCGGCCCTTGAAGTACTCCCATTTGAATATAGATTATTATTTATTCCATTTATAAGAAAAATCCAATAAGCTGTAGTCATCTCTTAACAAGTAAATTTACTGAAAACCGTGATGTAAAACATTATTAACAAAGATGATGAATAAAAGAGCCTCAAAAATGACCTTTAAGGTACTCAAATTTGAATATAACCGATTTACGGATAAATTTCCTTTTTTTTAGTTTCAATACTTTTATTTTACCGTTCAAACAAGTTCTGGAGAGATGATAAACAAAAGCACCCCAAGAATCGATCCTTGAAGCACTCCCATTTGAATATGGCCAATTATTAATTATTCCATAAATATGATCCTGCAAGTTCAATCATCTTCATACAATTGTTTGGTATCTAGATGTAAAATATCATTAACGGAGTTGATGAAGAAAAGAGCCCCACAAATAAATCCTTGGGTACTCCCATTTATGGATAAATATTTTTTTTTTTTAGTTTTATTACTTTTTTTAAACGTTCAAACAAGTTCTGAAGAGGTGATAAAAGCACCCCAAGAATTGGCCCTTGAAGCATCCTTGAATATAGCCCAATATTTATTATTCCATACATATGGAAAACCCTAGTATAGCTGCAATCATCTTCATAGCAAGTACATGTATTTGAAACCGTGACGTAAAATATCATAAACGGAAATGATGAACAAAAGCTTTCCAAGAATCGACCCTTCAGGAACTTCAATTTGAAAATAGCTGAATTATAGGTAAATAACTTTTTTAATTTTATTATTTTTTATTTAAACATTCTAATAAGTTCTGGTACGTAAGTGAAATTTTCTTTTTTACTCTTTACTATTTCTACAATATCAGCCCAAATTTTTTCCCCTTTGTGATAAAAAGAAATAGTCAACTTTTTTGTTTTTTTTTTTTTTTAAATTATTTTCTGAAATATCTGAAACTCCCTATAGATAAATTTCCCGCGACATTTTCTACAAGGATGCAAAAGTCTCACAACCATATTAATAAATATTGCTTTAATTTTAATAATTGAGGGCCTTAGAATAAAAAGGGTACAAGTGACGCTTGTATCTGTTTTGCTCTCACCAAACTGCAGGAATTCTTCACATAGTATTTCTACTTACCAAAAGATGGCAGTCTAGGTCAATATATCACTTAAATATGTTTTGCACCAACCAAACATCAACTTTAAATATTCATATGTGCTATTATCTCCAATCCAAAAAAAAAAATACTTGTACCCCTTTTATTCCAAGGCCCTCAATTATTAAATATTTCTTTTTTAATAAAAGTTTAATAAATCTTATCGGTATAAAAATCTCTATAAAATAATGCACTAAACCGAATATCTAATTGATTTATAAATGTTTTATTATACGTCAAAATAAGCTGAATTTAATCGCACACTTCGCGATTCATGGTCTATAAATTTGGTTGTTAAATATTTATATTTTCGCATCTACGATAGGTGCTCAATAAATAAATAACATCCGTCTACCCATTCGCGCTGCCAATGCGGTGACTAAACATTTTTAAAACTCCTCATAAAACTTCCATTTTCTACTACATTTTTAATGGTCCAATAACAGTAGGTTTTATTCATGTTTGGCAGTCTGGATCGATGTTTCACCTTATAATTATTCTATTTTTAACAACAATTAAAGAAAACTTTATTTGGGTTATTGATTTGTTCTTGAAATTCACTCTTAATAATTTTTCTCTAGATAAAAGTGCTTAAAATTACCTTAGAATACAACTGAGCTTTTAAATTCAATTATTAGTGTACTTATAAAAAAAATAGACATGTTCACTTCTTTTCATCATGTTTATTAACACCACTTAGTTCTCAAAGGCTCCTTTATAAGGACTCTTTGGTCCTTTTTACAAGCGTCTTATTTCTTTGAAAATGAAATCCGACTTCACGGCCGCTTGCCGGAATAATTCAGAAAAGAAAAATGTTTTTCCGTAAGGATGAGCGTCTTACGTAAAAGATATAAGAACTATTATTGAATTTTGAGTAAATTATATTTGCATATACGAGAGTTGATTCTTATGTTCCGCCTCTGACTTATTTATGTTATAAATAATATGTAGAATACGCAAATGAATGTTAAAATGAAAAATAATGTTGAAATAAAATTCTCATAAATATTGGGGAAAATCTCATAAAATAATCGTATGCATACTTTAATTTATACCATTTAAAAACATCCTAAAATGAACAAGCTACTGATGAAAATTAGATCATATACCATTACGAATGGTGCCGTATTCGGGCGCCAGATTATCTAAATTGGTATATTCCACTGACTCTTGAGATGGCGTCAAAAGTACCTATGCAACTGCAGATGGAGATGAAAAAAATCCATAGCTCACGTCAAGTGGAAACATGTATGACATGTAATCACATACTTGATTACTAAACGGTGCAAGAGAGACGTCCGACACGCCTAACATAGAGTGCGGCCATTTTGATGCAATTACTACTAGGTTAGGCAACACATTTTTCCAAAATGTTAAACTGGTAGCTTACATCTTGGTATTTTGAGATTTTAAATGAAGGCAAAACATGTAGAAGTATTTATTTATTTTAAATAATGTACAAGAAACTTCTTTGAAGTAAAGCTATAATTGCGAGTGCATCTTCCACTTTCAGGTGTGTAGATGAGCCAAAGATAGTAAACCTGAAATAAATAAAAACAATTATTATAATATAAATGTTCCAAAAAGTAAACAATATTACTTACATTTTTATATTATTTCGTTTGATTTTAATACTGCTCCTATCTATTGAAGTAAATGTTTTAATTTTATTGGTATTAGCCTTCTACAAAGAATTGTTTCATGATTAATCACATACCTTTTAACATAAGAGCAATAAGCATTTTCCTCAAAATGCTGAGAACAGACATGACAGAGTTTAGCTAAAAATAATTTCTAAACAATTTGATTAATGGTTTGTAAACACTGTTCAAGTTAAATGTTCGAAATTCCTAGGAGACCTCAAAAATAAAAAGCATTTAGAATACAACAATAGGAACATAATTAAAGTAGTTACTGTTACTTACAAATGGAAATATTTAACATAATATTACCAAGTAAAACATGGTTTTCAAGATATTCATTATTTGTTAATGGTTTTGTAAAGTGTAGGTTCGTAAATAATATCTTTGGGGACTGACTTTGGGTAAATATTACAACATAACTACAAAAACTATTGCGTCAAGATGTAGGCAACACGTAATAATTATTCAAAATAGCGGAGTTTTCTATCTCCTTTTAAAAGAAACTTAGAAGCTGCGCAGTGCGACCATTCTCCGTATAGTAAGAGAAAATCGAAGTATGTTCATGTAATTAATCGATAAATAGCATGTGGTCCATGTCAAGTAATTCGCGGAAATAAATGTAATTTATTTAACGCCCGTAAAGTCTCCTAAAACTTGACTAAAGGAAAAAAAACGAGTTAACATGTAGTTACTCGATATGAAGTAGCATGCGGTCCTTGTCAAGGCATTCGAGGAAATAAATAATATTTAAACAACTCCGGCTAAGTTTCGCTTAAAACTAAACTAAAGGAAAAAACGGCGTAACATGTGAAAACTTACAATGAACAGTATACGGTCATTACCAAGTCATTCAAGGAAACAAATGCTATTTAATGTATTGCAATCATATGCGGAAAAGAAATTAAAAAAAAAAAGAGAGAAACTCTACTCATTAAAAGTAAGTCAATTTACACAAATTTGAAGGTAATAAATTTGCCATGCCCATACAATAAATCCGAATCGTATTTTACATCAATATAGTAATTCAAAAATATAATCTATCATCTCATTCTAGCGAACTTTCGGTTATTCGGACCCATTATATAATTTATAGTAATAATGAAAATTTAACTTCATCACAGGAGAAGACTCCCATATTCTCTGATGAAAGAAGAGTAAGATTTTTGAAGAAATAATGGTATATACATAAAAGTTCTTTATTTCTAAATTGCGATAAATTTGAACAGCATTATATAATTAATTTATTAGAATTTAAAAAAACTGATACGATCCGGGTTGCGTGCAAATTGGAATAATAAATTATACATACTGGAAAAGTGCAACTTTTAGCAAGCAAAGCTACTTTAGTGCCGTGTTGACTACGTTTAAGCATTGTTCGCTGGTAGTGCGTTTTGTCACTGTGGTATTATAGTAATACTTCACTTGAAGACGATATTAAGGTAAAATATATAATAATAATGTCAATGTAAACATACAGTTTGCCCCCACGGTTCTTAAACTAATACGGTGACCTCTTTCCGTTGTTACGGAAGGGAGTGTGACGTCACAGAAATACAAAGCGAGATGAGAGAGTTTTGAAGATTTTCTGTTTGTAAAAACATTACAGCTTGTTCAGGCATGCTAAAATTTCAAATTATTTCAGAACATAAACAAAATGTGGTCGCATTCGGCTCAGAGGCCGTGCCGTAACATAAAGTGTTTAAAATAAACTATTCATATAATAATATATCTGAAAATGACTTGAAAATTCGGAAACAAGACCATCCCCGAATCCCAAAGTTAAAAACAAATACTTCATTCTTACAAATACTTCGAGAATCGAACCCGGACATCCTTGTATGCCCTTCCTTCTAGACTATCATAATATATTTTTTTATAATTTAAATAATAAGTAATTAATTTGAAATTTTATAGAAATCATTCTATAATTTTTCGGTTATCTTCCAATAAATCAAACTACCGTTATTATAAAAATTCACTGTACAGTAATAAAATATTATATTGTGATGTTTGTTTACTTTCAAACAACAGTTTATTTATTAATAATTTATTTAAACACTTATTTTATAACACAACTATTCTAATTTATATATACTTCGAATGTCTTTAAACTGATCACTATTT